AGCAGGACTAGAAGTCCATGGCGACATGTGTACATAGTCTGAGCAGGACTAGAAGTCCATGGCGACATGTGTACATAGTCTGAGCAGGACTAGAAGTCCATGGCGACATGTGTACATAGTGTTAGCAGGACTAGAAGTCCATGGCGACATGTGAACGTAGTCTGAGCAGGACTAGAAGTCCATGGCGACATGTGTACATTCCACTAACAAGATAAGCAATATCAAACTTTGGCTAGTCAATCAAGCTTGCAGTCTATAACCACAAGTCCAGCTAGAGATTTCACTAGTCTACCCTTATTGTCTAGCTGTGTTATGACTGATTGTACCTGAATCATGGTTATGTAGTCTCCAACCATTCGAGACAGCAGTTCGTTCTGGCTTTCAGAATTGATCCGCAACACATACTCCAGCACTGTACTGTACATGTCTGTCCCCCTAGAACACACAATTTTCTGGTTTCTGTGACGACGAGCTTTTCATATATTTGCAAAACATAATTATGATTCAGACTAGTATTACATACATGAGATACTAGTGATCTTGGTCATAACTATTACGGCCTAAAGCTTGTTGGTATCTAATACCCGAAAACTGAGTACATCCTTTCCCTGTTGTACCTGTTACTGACAACTAGATTTTCGACTCTTTGTCTCATGTTTACCAGGAATGCCCCCTGATAACCTCTTAGACAGGTATTCATTCCCCATCTATGACCGGATTCTGACTCCATATTTGATCTAGTTTGCTTCTTGATTATGTAGCAATGATGTAATCTGCCCACCCCAATTGACCTTGGTTACCGTTGACAAGGGGCTTGGTCTGTTCTGCCCACCCCTATGACCTGATTCGTTCCCATGGTTACCTGTTGACCGGCCTAGGGGCTTGGTCTATTCTGCCCACCTCTATGACCTGATTCGTTCCCATGGTTACCTGTTGCCAAGGGGCTTGGTCTAACCTGCCCACCCGTATGACCTGATTAATTCTCATGGTAACCTGTTGACTAGGTGCTTGGTCTATCCTGCCCACCCCTATGACCTGATTTGGTCTATCCTGCCCACCCCAATGACCTGATTTGTTTCTTTTGTTACCTGTTGACAAGGTGCTTGGTCTACTCTGCCCACCCGTATCACCTGATTTGTTCCCATGGTTACCTGTTGACAAGGTGCTTAAGGTGCTTGGTCTATCCTGCCCACCCCAATTACCTGATTTGTTCCCTTTGTAACCTGTTGACAAGGTGCTTGGTCTACTCTGCCCACCCCAATGACCTGATTTGTTTCTTTTGTTGCCTGGTGACAAGGTGCTTGGTCTGCTCTGCCCACCCGTATGACCTGATTTGTCCCCATGGCTACCTGTTGACAATGTGCTTGGTCTACTCTGCCCACCCCAATGACCTGATTTGTTCCCTTTGTTACATGTTGACAGGGTGCTTGGTCTACTCTGCTCACCCGTATGACCTGATTTGTCCCCATGGCTACCTGTTGACAAGGGGCTTGGTCTACTCTGCCCACCTGTATGACCTGATTTGTCCCCATGGCTACCTGTTGACAAGGGGCTTGGTCTACTCTGCCCACCAGTATGACCTGATTTGTTCCCATGGTTTCCTGTTGACAAGGTGCTTCGTCTACTCTGCCCACCCGTATCACCTGATTTGTTCCCATGGGTACCTGGTGACAACGTGCTTAAGGTGCTTGGTCTATCCTGCCCCCCCCTGTGACCTGATTTGGTCTATCCTTCCCACCCCAATGTCCTGATTTGTTTCTTTTGTTACCTGTTGACAAGGTGCTTAAGAGGCTTGGTCTATCCTGCCCACCCCAATGCCTTGATTTGTTCCCTTTGTTTCCTGTTGACAAGGTGCTTCGTCTACTCTGCCCACCCGTATCACCTGATTTGTTCCCATGGTTACATGTTGACAAGGTGCTTGGTCTACTCTGCCCACCTGTATGACCTGATTTGTCCCCATGGCTACCTGTTGACAAGGTGCTTGGTCTATCCTGCCCACCTGTTGACAAGGTGCTTGGTCTACTCTGCCCACCCGTATGACCTGATTTGTTCCCATGGTTACCTGTTTACAAGGTGCTTGGTCTATCCTGCCCACCCCTGGGACCTGATTTGGTCTATCCTGCCCACCACAATGACTTGATTTGTTCCCTTTGTTACCTGTTGCCAAGGTGCTTGGTCTACTGTGCCCACCCATATGCCCTGATTTGTTCCCATGGTTACCTGTTTACAAGGTGCTTGGTCTATCCTGCCCACCCCTATGACCTGATTTGGTCTCCCTATGACCTGATTTGTTCCCTTTGTTACTTGTTGACAAGGTGCTTGGTGCTTGGTCTATCCTGCCCACCCCTGGGACCTGATTTGGTCTATCCTGCCCACCACAATGACTTGATTTGTTCCCTTTGTTACCTGTTGACACGGTGCTTGGTCTACTCTGCCCACCCGTATGACCTGATTTGTCCCCATGGCTACCTGTTGACAAGGGGCTTGGTCTATCCTGCCCACCCCAATGACCCGATTTGTTCCCTTTGTTACCTGTTGCCAAGGTGCTTGGTCTATCCTGCCCACCCCAATAACCTGATTTGTTCCCTTTGTTACCTGTTTACAAGGTGCTTGGTCTACTCTGCCCCCCTGTATGACCTGAATTATTCCCTAGTATGTTACCCATTGACAAGGTGCTTGGTCTATCCTGTGCACCGCAATGACCTGATTTGTTCCCTTTGTTACTTGTTGACAAGGTGCTTGGTGCTTGGTCTATCCTGCCCACCCCTGGGGCCTGATTTGGTCTATCCTGCCCACCACAATGACTTGATTTGTTCCCTTTGTTACCTGTTGCCAAGGTGCTTGGTCTATCCTGCCCACCCCTATGACCTGATTTGGTTTATCCTGCCCTCCCTTATGACCTGATTTGTTCCCTTTGTTACCTGTTGACAAGGTGCTTGGTCTACTGTGCCCACCCATATGACCTGATTTGTTCCCATGGTTACCTGTTGACAAGGTGCTTGGTCTCCTCCCTGAGTCGTGTGCAGTGTTGCTGGTAGGAACCTGTCTCCAGGTTTATAACACAGTGTGGTAGAGCTATCTCCAGCTTTGTGATCTGATAGTACCTATAAATATAAAACAACCATGCACAAAAAATACCATCCAGTTTGTTCTAGTTATTTCTAGTACATTCAGTCATTTTTAGTTACTCTTTTATGGGGTGGATTCAGAATTTATTCATGGGGGTGTCACCATTCCAGATTTCCAGTTTTTTTGTGTGATTTATGTGGTTTGAAACATGTCATGTTGCACGAAATTAAGTTAGAAACCAGTCTTGGCCTTGAACTTTTCTAAGGTCTTTATCTAAATCTTTCCTAAATTCAGTTTTTGCTCTGTTCTTTTTTTTAATTTTATTTTTAGGAAAAGCCCGAGTGGAATGAATCATCAATATATGATTATGATTTTAGTAATTTATCAATATTAATCTTCATTGCGCACAACATACATGTACAGATTTGGGGGGCATCACACGATATAGATGCAGTTACTTAATAATATACATTCTGTACTATTACATTTTGTAAGTCAAGGGCAGGGGGTGTAATGTGTGCTGGTTACATCGCCCTTGGATCCACCTCTGGTTATGCATATCAGGTCAGTTCTCGTAAGTGTATCAAGTCAGTTGCAGATATTGTTAGTATATCAGGTTTTTTAGAGATACCATTGCACCTATCTGGAAAATAAATTCTTTCAATGATATTTTTCTATAAAACCTCCATGACTTAAAGCTTACATAATTATTGTATTCATTCAACACAGTTCATATGACCAATACTTACTTGAAGGTTGTCACGATATTCTTGTGCCCTAAGTACTGGCTGAACGTTTGGTGAAGGGAATGTGTACAATTCTCAGATTTCACTCTTCGCATGAAACTGTTACCATAGAAATGCAGCTCTAGATATTTGGCAAAGGAAATATTCCAAGTGTCCTGACTCATTGGCATCAAAGGAGTGGCCTGCAATGATTGGTCAAATGATAGACAGGTGTGCAATGATTGGTTAAATGATAGACAGGTGTGCAATGATTGGTTAAATGACAGAAGTGGAAAAGTTGATTCAAGGAATTTAAATGAACAAGAAGGCATCTTCGTTCATGTTGCCAACTATCAATTCAAATACTGAGAACCCACTTGATGTTCAGGACTAATGTTAAAGAAATCCTACAAAAATCACTGGTTTTCTATTACGATTCGGAATTAATTAACATATTCAGCTAAATCTCTGTTACAAACAACCAAATTTCTGTATCAACACTCAAGTTTTCTGGTTTAATAAGGGAAACAAGATTGGCGATATTAAAAATGATATCAAAACAGGTATTATGCAGAAACTGTTAAAACAAAACTATTGAGAATACAGAGTTAAGTTAAACTGATTTTAATAAAGCTACCTGTCTACATTTCCTGCACCAATTCCACATCATGATGGCACTATCGCCTCCAGGAACACAGTTCTTCAACTTTCTCAGAGATATATAGATGGCGCCATTGTTGTGTACGATCCTGCGTACATGGTCTAACATTGGGATGTCGCACGCCTCTGAAGGGCAGGTGTATGGCTGGAGGGAGTAAGACTCTCTGATACAGAAACCATAACCATGTATATTACAGTCCTCCTTTATCTATAGACGGGTGTCTGCTGAGTTATGGTATTTTCTAGTATTACTGACACTTCTTGTTGAAATGCATTTAAACCTATACAGTATACCAGGAAATTTTCGCCCTTCAACGTAAAAATCAATTTTGCCCAATTATTAAATTTGCCTAAACTTTCACATTGAATTACAATGTTGATTATCTTGTTTATAACTATTTGCTATTATGATAAATTTACTCTAATTAAACTGCAGAGAAAATGTCCCCGGTTCGAGTATATAAATGTCTTCCGCACTGTCACCATATAAACCTATCAACGTCAGCTGTGAGCTATGAGATCATAAACTTTGACTGATGATCATGACGTCATAACAATTGTGGTATCTTGATAATAACTTTGAATGTAGCTGGTAGATATCTACGGTTGGCTGTTCCATTTATTGAACACCTGCTGTTCCGTTTATTGAACACCTGCTGTTCCGTTTATTGTGGAAGAAGAGAACTCTTGGGTGTATAATGCTAGGGTTGTAATATCTACAATATTTGACAGATAAGAAGCCCCAGCTAGCTCACAAATAAGCCCCTTCCACTCATTGATAAAGGAATAGGGTGGACTAACATTATTATAACTAAAGGTTGATCTCATAGGCATTTGATAAACCTTAGAAAATACTGATTATTTGGTGCAGTAGGCATTGTTCTTACTAACTTTCCTGCTACATACCTGAAGCAGAACTTCTCGAGGAATCCACCCAGAGTGATGTCCTGGTTACCGTAAAACTCCATGGTAACAATCCTGGTCAAGTATAAGAAACAATGATAGTTACACAGTAAAACCCTGATATAATGTACATTGCATCTTATTTCATTTGCCATCTCCTTTATTAACAATATATTTCAATGTCCCTTTTTCTTATTTTCTTCAGAAATCTTTTGCAAGTTATTGTCAAACCCCACAAAATTTCTCTAAACACGTGGTGGAATTATAATGAGAATCTACTGCAGTAAAGAACTGCAAAGCAATGCATGACAAGATCATATATCCATGTGACGACAAATAACGACATTGGCCTTGACATTCAGGTCATGAATGATGATGGACTTATGACAGAAACAGTTCAGAAAAGGGACTTACATCTTGAATTTCATTCAAACATAAAAATACAGTATAACTATTTTCTGACATCAATTGAACGACCAAAGTAGCAAAACTTAACCTTTGACCTTGAGAAATGTCACCTACACACTTGCTGATAGTCATGATTGTGTAAGTCTCATGATCTCTCAGCACTTTTTCCTGGTGATAACAATCTCATGATCTTGGTATAAATATCTCATACTTTCATAAATCTCAATACTTCTGGACATTTTCACAGATAGTTAGCTGTTAATAGTAAACAGAGAGTATGATGAGCCACATGATTGTATATAATTTTGTAAATAGGCATGTGAATAATAACATGTACTGGCCAATATATATAGCAGGCCTCGGACCAATAACTCGGCCGATACAGAAATAACCAATCAATAATACTATAATTATTGGAATAAATTACTGTCTCTTTTAACAATTTTAATCACATTACTGTGATATAATGTTAACTACGAATACCAATAGCATGCCTCCATATCCACTTTGATGAAAATGGCGCTAAAGGAAAAGTCAATCTGACAGAAAAAACAAACACTGGAAGGTCACTGTTGAAAATCACTCCCTGCTTTAGGTTGGTGTGATCAACAGATCTACACTTACTGTGGAGGTAGACAGGGGAAGGGATGGTTGGCTGATCTCTCTGAGTGGCTACTGAGCAGTACAGCTAGTCTCTGATGTCGATGGAACTCCAGACAGTCTCTCTGTAACAGAAATGTTTAATACCAGTAAAACATGAATAGGATCATCTTCCACCCCATGGTAGAACTTTATAATTCACTGGTAGGAACGTAATAATATTTATCAACAAACCCTTCTGTCTTTCTTCCCTGAGAATGATACACCTTTGTTGTTTTGTTGGCTCGGGCTATTCCTGTTGCTCGGGTCAAACAGGTCTTTAGGCCCCGCCACTAGATTGGGAAAAGGAGGCTTGAGGATAATTCTTCCCCCTCGTGCTCGGAAGTCAGCCAACATGCTCTGTAACAAAAAAATGCATCTTTAAATGACATCAAATCTTTTGGTTGAACTTGTGACCTACATAACACATATATGTGTGATTTATGTATCAAACGTTGATTTGTTTATGTAATGCTACCTATTAATCAATGATTATGACATTTCAATGTATTGCACATTAATTTGCACTCTGTACATGTCAAGACCATCAGACAAACAAAATACTTAGTTTGATGAAGGTGAATGTACATATCATACTAGTCATAGAAACTTCACAAATAAACATTTACTGGCTGTGCTATATGAACCTATATTTGCTCTGCATTGCCACTATATAACACTACCAAGGCCAGTTCTGTGTTATGAGACCATAACACTGGCGTAGTGATATGAAAAATACCTGTTGGTGATATTCCCCTCCGCACCAGCAAGCAAATAAGCAAAATAATCACTATGATTCAATGTTATTCACCATTTTAGGTAAGACTAATATAAAATGTGAATTGAATAAATTATGGAAATTGTATCAAACTTTTCCATGGGCTGTTCTACCTTGCGAAATTCAAAATTTCAAAGTGCATTGTGAACTTAGAAATGAAAATTGAAAAAAAGTACCTACCTCAATTTGGCCCTTGTCCATGGAGGTCAGTTCTGACAATATGAAGGGATGAGACTCGACCACCTCCACATCGGACCAGGACATGGGAGGCTTCGGGGGCTGTTCTCCTTCATGGTATTTCTGGGACCTCCTCATTTCATACCCAGTGGGGTCAAATCGACACGACCAGTACAGCTCATCTATATGTGCAAAATATTTCCGTGAACAGCAGTCACTCCCTGATTCTGATTCTAAAAACGGCACATCATACTTCACAAACGGAGACGTACTGAGTAAAACCTCATTTAGAAGTTTCCTGAACTTTTGATAACGCTTTTGAGATTTCTCTTGAAGTGTAATGGAACTTTGAAAAATTGTATCATCTTGATTTTTTTCGAAATTGTGGAGAGGGTCTGATTGGTCAGTTATAATCTCTGATGAAGACGTTTTTCGACCAATGTTATCACAGTTCAACAAATCCATTTTCAGATCTAAACTTTCGTTTTTATCTTGATCTTGTTCACTGTCATCATTTGTTTCTCCTAAAGTAAATTTGATTTTTCCTTCCTCTACTAATGTTTTCAAGTCATTTTCCATGGCAGTGTCTTTTTCACTCTCCAGCACATTGGACATGTCCTTATCATTTAGTTTAACATTCTCAGAACATTTGCACACCTCCTCTGTGTCCATGTTACCTTTTTCACTTTCCAAAGTCACAATCTCAGGGTAGCTATCCCCTTGCTTATCACTTTTGTCATCAACACTGGTCATACTGGAATTAATATTTCCATCAACACTGCAATTAACATCTCCCACATTTGTAGCCCCTCCCTCATTTTCATTGGCCACACCAACTTCTTCACTGGCCACACCCCCACTTTCATTAGCTCCTCCCTCTGCTACAGTTGACTCCACCCACTCTTGAATGGCATCACTGTTGTTGATGCTGTCCACCATGTCCACCCCAGCAGAAGGGGTGGAGTCTGCACTGTCAATCACATGGATTGAATCGTCCAGCTGTCCAGGCGGCATGGCAAACTCATCCATTAGCAGAGAGATTTCTAGTTGCGAATTGTACGCTGCATAGATAATGTGTCGCATGATCTTTTTGATCTGAAAATAAAATTGGTTTCCATATTTAAGCAGTGATCAATCCTTACTCTTTTTACTCAAATGAACCGGAACCTACGAAATATACATCACTTAATAATAATGATAAAATACAACATTTGAAATAGCGCCCTATCTCGCTAGAATAAGCCACTCTAACCTAAAGGGCTTTACAGTACTTAGATATACAATTTATACAATCAATACAATTAGCATATACATCACTTACCAAAAACAAGGAACACTTAAATTAGTTAACCACAGTTTCATAATGTATTACATTTTTTACAAAGTACCTGCCATTTCTAATAATTATTACTCCGTCCATTCTATCGGGTAACTATACATATCTCTATTGTTTCTGTTACATGACATAATGGATAATTACTATTTGTCATGGCTGACACCTTTGCCTTAGCCCTAAAAATATGTATACCGTTGTTCTGATGACAACTAGCTATTCTTAACATGTAAAACGAAAATAAAAATACGGAGTCTAGTTATTGAAGTTCCATTCATATATTTTTTGTTTTTACCTAATTATTTTTGGGAATCAGGTCGGAAACAATAGTTGATTTATTAAGAATAATATGACACTCTAAATTTCCCAACCATCCATCAATTATTGGGTTAAAGTTGATATCAAATTCTTTAATGGATATAAGCAATATACTTCAAATGAAGTGACTGTTGTATGCTTGAATGAATGAGAGAATGTAACTAACCAATTCTGAGAAGCAAAGAAAAGAAAAACAGATGAAAGACAAAGTATAGGTACATGTATTCTTGAGTACTGCTATCACAATACAACGTGCCCTACTAGCCTAAGGAGGCACGGTAGTCTAGTGGTAGGATCGATGCCAGGCTCATGATCAAACGGTTGAGGGTTCGAGTCACGCCACAGCACTTTGTTGTATCTTTGAGCAAGATAATTTACTACGCTTGTTCCAGTCTACTCAGCTGTAAATGAGTATGTGGTTGGGCAGTGCTAGAATGGTTGAATTCTAGCTGTGAGCACCGAAATGGCAGCACCGGCTGTATGCTCCCCAGGGAGTTGAGAAAGATATTGGCTGGTTGCAAAGGCGCTATAATCACGGATAATAATTTGTGAACCACTTTGAGATGACTTACTAACTAGGGGTTGTGATAAAGCGGTATATAAGAACCTCAAATTATTATATTATTAAAGTCACCCTGTTTAATGGTATCCCAATACTATTAGACGAAAGGTAAACAGTTTCATGTGAAATGTGACAGGGCAAAGATAAGAAATAAAGTTAATGTTTGGGAAAGACAGAAGGAAATAATAATAAAATCGCATTTACATATGAACCCATTGCATACAAATTTGAACTGCTGGGGTGTTTCCCTCTTATTCTGTGTAACTATCCTAACTTGTGTCTTTACGTTACCTACCCGCTTTAACTCACTACTAGATCCACCTCTCAGGGAAATCGTACAGCCAAGATGAGTTGCACATCCGTCAAAACAGAGCATTGTCTTGTTTTCACCTACAACCAAAACACAAATACGATGCATCAGATTATATTACTGAAATAAATACTTGAAAATCATAAGGCACTTTTTTGTGATCCTTACCATTATCAAGTTTTTTTAAATTTGTTTCTGGGGGGAGGGGCTCATTATAACAGTTTTAAATACCTGATAATTTTCTCTCCATTCCGGCATTCCCAATATACATGATATTCATGTATTCATATCTGAAATAGCTATATGAAGTTTTTGTAATATCTACCACAGCTATAACGCAAGAAAGATGACAAACTTGCATTAATATTAGTAACAATTCATAAATAAAATTACTTGATGAGGCAGATTTGGGTCCTGTATACCTTAATTCATTTATAAACACATTTTACTGCACATTAAACTTTATCTATTTTACAACAATTATGAAACAAGAGTTATTCAACTTATATCAATCAATCTTGTTGGCTTGGATGTTAGTGCATGGGTCTTAATGTAGGAGGAAACTTCAGTACCTGGAGAAAACCCATGTGGTCGGGCAGGAAACCCCATACCTTCCCACATTTGCCCAGGGAATCGAACCCCGGCCGCCTTGGTCAAAAGGTGAGTACATGATCTACTGCACCACCCGACAATCCAAAAACCTAAACATTACTTACAATGGACTGTATATCAGTGTGACATTTTCTCTTAATGAACTCTGGAGCTTCTGTGGTGGGAGAAAAGCCCTACGTACAGGTATAAAGGGTCTCTAAAACATACACAAAAGTTACCTGAGGCAAGAGGGTGTACACTGAATGCTGGGTATTGCTAACAACTTCATATTGCAATATATTGTAATTCACTAGTTGGAAATATTAAATTTATGGTTCAAAATCGGGACTCTCCCTCCTGAATAGGGAGAGTTGGCAAGTATGTTATTTAGGGAAGCGACACCTGCCTTCAAAGCTGGTCAATTTTACCATTATGCTGCCATGGGATTGTTTTAATGTATATCAAAGGATCAAACTAGTCTACTTGTCCGCAAAATGGTGCATATAGAATCTTCAATTTCGCCATTGTATATTCGAGGGTTTCAGAGACCACAAGAGAGCATAACCCATTGCATTTAGAGGTAGGAACAGCACTAACAGAACCCCAGGTAGTTAGGGCCTCCTTATTACCTGAGGGTAAGTTGAAGTTACAGGCTTTGAAGTTATGGCAGAAGCCCAGGTTGATCGGACCACTGACGATTCCGTCGATAGAGCTGATGATGGTTGCCTGGGTAAATCTCTCCAGTCTCTCCATTACAGCCTGTTAAATAGTCAACACAATCCATTGTAAGGTTAACCCTTTCACCACTGTAGACCATAATGGACTCATCCAGAAAGATGCATGGGAGAGTCTACTAAAGTTGCATAGGGGTGAAAGGGTTAAACCATGCAGTCACATACCAGTACTGCTCTATATCTGCAGGGTAACAAAACTGTCAAGACCAGTGATGAACCATCTTGTTGGCACTACATCCTAATTTATGTAAGTATAAAATAAATTCATGGAACCACTGCAGAAATATTCATTATAACATCCAGAAATGAGTTATTTAATATATTGTCAGCTCAAATACATGTTCAAGTAAAACTTTCAATACAGCTGAACAAAATAATGTTATAATTAACAATGCAGTGTAAACCTAAGTGAGTACTCTTTGTAAAACAAACTTTTACATTTCTTTGCATCTTACCAATATGATACGTGTTGTCAGACTCTAACACCATTTGGTCAGGTGACCATTATTGTGATGTCACCAATCCAAATGTATTAATATTATAAACTGACTTGGCTGTTCGAAGAACTTAATGAACTGATGTTATGGGAGTGAAATAATCAATATGGTTTAATTACTGCATTCAAATATAGACATAAGTAATAAACGTTTTAACAAATGGTGTTTAGGGTTCCATAATATGTATCGCAATTACAGGCATTGCAATTGTTAAAATTAAATTTGAAGCCCAACTGAGCTTTATCAAATATGTCAGCAATAGCAATGGGTGTAATAGGACTCTCATTACTGTATCAAATCTTACTGTACTGCGTTAAACATTTCAATCAGCAGAACAAATATCAACCGTCCACATTTTAAATGAATCTTAAAACTTCATTTAACATGCCATCAATCTATGCTAAGACAAAAATTCGGAAATTTCCCTTACATGGTAAAAGTTAGCTCAATCTGGTTACTCCATAAAAACCTGGTCATTTTACAGAAGATGGAGGATACATACATATCTATGTGAAATAAGTATGACAAAATTCGAGAGATATGCATGAGATACATAGACAGAAAGCATGAAAAAGTATGAAAAAGAATTAGAAGAAAGAATGAAGCACTAGAAATAATACCCTGTACACACGTACCAGCTTAACATTGTACAACAGAGTGATCCCCGTGGCCAGAAGGAAGTTCTGAGCGAGGCGGGACACCGACTTCTCCACCACAACGATGTCCGGTTTGGGCTTCATGGACGATATCTTGGACACATTCTTCCTCAGGAATTCCTCTTCCTGTCAATGGACAAAACAAACATAGCAGAGAAACTAAAATAACCATCCAATCAAGGTCAGGGAAATACTTGTTTTACAGGTCACATGTTACTCAGATCCGAGATGTCAAACGTTATTAAATTTGTCCAGGGGAGTAAATCTATTCAACTGCTCCCTAAGGCACGTAGGGGTCTCTCCAGAGAATATCTTTGTTTTATATGTACTGCAAGACATATACAAATGTATAGTTTTAAATTATTTGTATTTTATCATCTTAGATAAAAAAATATATATATATAACATTTTTACCAAATTGCAAGTTAAAAGGAGATAGCTTTTACTGTACTAATGTGTCTGATCAAAAATAGTAAAATAATCAAAAATGAAATAATAGAGAGTGGATTTCTTAGCTATAGTTTTCTGTCAAAAAGGAGTGGCTGGTAAATCGTGCAAGGAAAGTGTCAAAACAAATTAAGATCTGCAAATACAAGAATAGTAAAAAGATGACTTTTACAGTCATAATTGTGCAAGATTGGCTATCAAGAAGTGAAGCAAATTTTATTAAGTACCTGGTAAATGTTCTTGTATTATCAAATTATTACAAGTAGTTATTCATTATTTTAAATGCTTTTAAGAACAAATCACCTCATACAAATATCAGTCCGACTGTGCCTCACTTGTCAAATCTAAATCCTTCCAGATCATGTTTATCTAGCTGATTCTACAATTAACATGAACTCCATGCAAGCAACACACCTGAAGAATCTGTGGCTCGAGGGAGGAAAATTTACTCTCCACCCTCTGGTATTCAATGGAGCCCTTCAGCAGGAGGATGGTGGGATTGGTAAGCTGATGCGCCATCTTTTTGTGAGCCACGTTCTTTGTAAACACAAGTCCATGTATTACACAGGTCTGCTCTTTGTTCCCACCCGGAATCTGCGGAAGGAAAACAATTCTGCATTCAATTGATATGGTTTATACAATAATGTTGGTTTATAATTTCAATGCATTATAACGATTTGGTCATTACAGTTATGTAGAATTTATACATACACATACAGAACACTGGAAATTTACTCTCTTTGTTTGTAGAGTGGGAATGCAGGGCAAGCGTAAGTAATAAATGCATTCAGAGGGCTGAATTTGTTCAATAAAATTACAAATGTTCCGGCAGTTTAAAGCATATTTATAGTATAGAACTGTTAGTACTATTTGTGTATGTAAACTCAAGCACCAGTTTTTTTTTAATATTTCAATAATTGTACCTGATTTGTGAAATATTAATAATAAAACAATTTACTTTTTAAAAGTTTTAATTGTTGATCATAAAACTGTTGTAATAAGCACCTCAGCCCTGTAAGAACTTCTATACCTTTTCTGGTATGAGCATCCCACCCGTACACCATACATTACTTACTAAATGGAAAAGGTATCTATTATGCTATTTTTCAAAGATTTTGGAAGAATCTGTCCTCATTTTTATTTTCTTAAATTGCTATGAAGCAACCAGGTTGAATATTGTGTCAAAAATGGTATAATTTCATCTTTTTTCCCCTTTTCTAAATAAACAAGAGATCCCAGAGGGATCTTGGCGCCCACCTTTGTACCATCTTCATTAGTTCTTTGTCAGTTCGATCTTTTCCCTTCTTTCCTCTAATCTGTTTGATCGAGTCATGTTAACAGTAAATGCACCTTGAGGTAACTTTTGATCTAAACTTAATACTGATGTGTATGAAAGCCAACCTTCAAAGTGAGTTTGTCATTTCACATATTTACTAGTACAGTACTTAATGTGAAAGAAATAGAATCGATCATTGCAATATGAGAAAGATCTGTTTAGTTCTTCTTTTATTCCAATTTGTTTTTAGGATCAGTCTCAAAATATAACATGCACAACAAGGGATCAAGGGGAACCTACATATAAAATTTGATAAAGATCCCTCTGATACTTCCTGCGAAATAGTGATAACAAACTTTCAATATCAAAATCCAAGATGGCTGTCTGTCGACCATGTTGTTTATCCGATTAGTCTCAAAAAATGCCCTGCACAGCTATAGACCAAGGGGAACTTACATACAAAATTTGAGAAAGATCCCTCTGATACTTCCCGAGAAATAGTGATAACAAACTTTCAATATCAAAATCCAAGATGGCTGCCTGTCGGCCATGTTGTTTATCCGATCAGTCTCAAAATTGGCTTGCACAGCTAAGGACCAAGGGGAGCATACATATAAAATTTGAGAAAGATCCCACTGGTACTTCTTGAGAAATAGCAATAACAAGAATTGTTTAAGGACGGACCACGGACGGACGACGGACCACAGACGCAGGGTGATTTGAATAGCCCACCATCAGATGATGCTAAAAATGTAACCATTACATCCTCACAAATGCAATCACTAGATATCAATTTGAACGGCACCTTTTTGAACTTGATGTACTTCCTGATGTCCATGTGGTCCCCTGCATGCTTCACATCTGGGTGGACATATCGGCTGACCCTCTGAGCAGTTCCAAGGACAATGTCCATCCAGGATTTGGACAAGCCTTCATCACACGACATCTGACTGACCAGGTCACGTAAATGGTCATCATGTAAAGACCTGAATACAAGCAAATATCGGTAGTAATTTACAGCTTCATATAGTACAACTAGTAAAATGTTTATACCACATTGTTCTCAGCCTTATAATTCTACATATCTATATAAAGTTTCATAGGCCAAACAAAAAACGTGTTTGTTTCCCGTTACATGCCTGAAAACATCAGATTAGGTTGGTAGGTAATACATTTTATTTTAAATTTCATTTTTTTCCCATTAGGTTTACATAGGAGAGTGATCTTACATGCAGTGCCTCCTTGAAAAGTGTCAAAACAGTTTAGGGTGGGCAAAACAAATAAGTTAAGTAGGGTAACCAGAAACATTTTTTTCTTTGTGGCCTTTTAACAACTTCAGTAATAACGAAAATATGTTGAAGAGAAACAATTTTTATCTTTGACTTCTTCACTTCAATTTTTTTTGATTTTGACATTAGATTGATGGTTTAGAGACTATAATATGTGACATTGTAGTACACATCTATTTTCATGTCTATGCAGTTTTATTAAAAATATTGAAAAGCTCTGATCTCTGAGCAATGGTCTAAGTTTGTTCTCCAAACTTTAGAGTGAGTTATGGTATTTAATTGTCGTGGATATGGAGTTTCAAAACTTTGGCCTAGTTTGTGACCTTGATCTTAGAGTGATGTCCGGGAAACTGTACACATCCCTATGAAGTGTAATTAAACTGTAATTAAGAAGGTACTTTGGGTTAGGTCCTGAGAGACTATATTTCAAATCTGGAGAGAATTGAGTCCTGTGGGACTTTGTCTTAAGTCCCAAGAAAATTTGTTTAAGTCCAGAGAGAATTTGGTTAAAAGTCCCTAGAAATAGTGGATCAAATCCTTAGAGACTTTGGTTTAAAGTCCCTAGAAATAGTGGATCAAATCCTTAGAGACTTTGGTTTAAAGTCCTTAGAAATAGTGGATCAAATCCTTGGAGACTTTGGTTTAAAGTCCTTAGAAATAGTGGATCAAATCCTTGGAGACTTTGGTTTAACAAGAGATTAACTAATATCACCAACAGTCATACTTCAGTTTGACAAATGAAGCCTTCTCATCGTTTTCGTCCTTGACCTGCTCGAGGGTCCGCCACCCTCTACATGTACTCAGTATCTGGGCCCCGCTCTGTGTCTGTGAACTTGTGAACACCGAGTCTGCACAAAATTAAAAATAAAGTTACTATTATAGTTATTTCAAACTTCTTCAAAACAAAATATAAGTTCAGAAAATATTTCACATGTTCCTAAAATGGAAGTCGAAATACAATTTAGCACTACAATCTGTTACAGGTAATAAATTTCACAATTCTCACACATTACATAAGTACATTCCTTATTTCACTAGGGAAAAGATATACATTTCTCCCATTAATAACAGTGAACAATGAGTCTGCACAAATTCAAAATAAAATTACAATAATTATATTATTCCAAACTACTTCAAAAAAAAAAAAAAAGTTCAGAAAATATTTCACATGCTGCTATAATGTAAGGGGAAGTATAATTTAACACTACATTCTGTTACAGGTAATAGATTTCACAATTCTCCTACATTTCACAGGTGCATTCCTCTTTTCATTAAGGAAAAGATAAACATTTCTCCCATACTTGCCTGAGAACAACAGGAAGTGACCCGTGAAAAGATAAACCTGTCTTTCACTTGATAGAGACAGCCTACGCGTGCTATGATGTCATGACACACTTAGACATACTTGAACTCTGACCTTTGATTTAGTAGTCTTGCTACTGTTTTGATTGCATCACTACTACATCTTATTGGATATCAAATTAAAATATTGTTAACATTTGTGCTTTAAATGGATTTCTGATTATATGTTCAGTGTGCATCACCCCTATGAAACTAACATAACACAATTCATGTGCACCAGTCATATAATGCAAGCATGTGAACACGATAAGAGTATCCACATTCGCATGTTTCTTTCCAGCAAGGGAGAAAAAAGAATCAAACAGGGGTATGCTCCTTGGACTGGGAAATCTCTGTCCAGCACTGGGCGAACCCTGTCCACAGACTAAACCCATGTGAAATTCTATTAGTCCTTACCTACCTAGGGAAAGACAGATTACACAGTTGTGCTATTATAATACTGAAACATCACCATCGCATCATCACTTAATAAGTATGCAGTGTAACTAGTGTGTCATCATCAATTTTGTCACAAATTTCATGTGCTCTTGATTATGGCACCTAAGCATTCAGTTCACCATTACAACATATTAATACTGTAGGAAAAAATTGTATGATACTAACAGAAAATGCTCAACTCTCGGTATCAGATTTTGCAATTTAGCACTTAAGCAAAAGCTCATGCTGCATTCAGAAATGTCCCCCATTGATTTAGATTTCTCTGTGTACATTACACAGGAGTGAAAGATACTATTTATCTATTTTGATGAAAATACAAAATCCTGGCATCACCTGTTGCTTACCTGTGATAATGTCTTCCTGTACTACAGTACCACGGTATCACCTGTTACTTACCTGTGATAATGTTCTCCTGTACTACAGTACCACGGTATCACCTGTTACTTACCTTTGATAATGTCTTCCTGTACTCCAGTACCATAGTATCACCTGTTACTTACCTGTGATAATATCCTCCTGTACTACAGTATCACCTGTTACTTACCTGTGGTAATATCTTCCTGTACTACAGTACCACAGTATCGCCTGTTACTTACCTGTGATAATGTCTTCCTGTACTCCAGTACCATGGTATCACCTGTTCCTTACCTGTGATAATGTCCTCCTGTACTCCCATACCATGGTATCACCTGTTACTTACCTGTGATAATATCCTCCTGTACTACAGTATCACCTGTTAATTACCTGTGATAATATCTTCCTGTACTACAGTACCACGGTATCCCCTGTTACTTACCTGTGATAATATCTTCCTGTACTCCAGTACCAGAGTATCACCTGTTACTTACCTGTGATAATATCTTCCTGTACTCCAGTACCAGAGTATCACCTGTTACTTACCTGTGATAATATCTTCCTGTACTACAGTACCACGGTATCCCCTGATACTTACCTGTGATAATATCTTCCTGTACTACAGTACTACAGTATCACCTGTTACTTACCTGTGATAATGTCATCCTGTACTCCAGTACCATGGTGTCACCTGTTACTTACCTGTGATAATGTCTTCCTATACTCCAGTACAACGGTATCACCTGTTACTTACCTGTGATAATGTCTTACTGTACTCCAGTACCATGGTATCACCTGTTACTTCCCTGTGATAATGTCCTCCTGTACTACAGTACCACGGTATCACCTGTTACTTACCTTTGATAATGTTCTCCTGTACTACAGTACCACGGTATCACCTGTTCCTTACCTTTGATAATGTCTTCCTGTACTCCAGTCCCATAGTATCACCTGTTACTTACCTGTGATAATGTCTTACTGTACTCCAGTACCATGGTATCACCTGTTACTTCCCTGTGATAATGTCCTCCTGTACTACAGTACCACGGTATCACCTGTTCCTTACCTTTGATAATGTCTTCCTGTACTCCAGTCCCATAGTATCACCTGTTACTTACCTGTGATAATATCCTCCTGTACTACAGTATCACCTGTTACTTACCTGTGATAATGTCATCCTGTACTCCAGTACCATGGTATCACCTGTTACTTACCTGTGATAATGTCTTCCTATACTCCAGTACAATGGTATCACCTGTTACTTACCTGTGATAATGTCCTCCTGTACTCCCATACCATGGTATCACCTGTTACTTACCTGTGATAATATCTTCCTGTAATCCAGTATCACAGTATCACCTGTTACTTACCTATGATAATGTCCTCCTGTTCTCCCGTACCATGGTATCACCTGTTACTTACCTGTGATAATATCTATCTGTACTACAGTATCACAGTATCACCTGTTACTTACCTGTGATAATGTCCTCCTGTACTCCAGTATCACAGTATCACCTGTTACTTTCCTGTGATAATATCGTCCTGTACTACAGTATCACAGTATCCCCTGTTACTTACCTGTGTTAATATCTTCCTGTACTCCAGTATCACAGCATCACCTGTTTCTTACCTGTTATAATATCTTCCTGTACTACAGTATCACAGTATCACCTGTTACTTACCTGTTATAATATCTTCCTGTACTCCAGTATCACAGGTAAGTAACAGGTGATACCGTGGTACTGTAGTACAGGAGAACATTATCACAGGTAAGTAACAGGTGATACCGTGGTACTGTAGTACAGGAGAACATTATCACAGGTAAGTACAGGTAAGTAACAGGTGATACTGTTACTTACCTGTGATAATATCTTCCGGTACTCCAGTACCATGGTATCACCTGTTACTTACCTGTGATAATGTCATCCTGTACTCCAGTATCACATTATCACCTATTACTTACCTGTGATAATGTCTTCCCGTACTCCAGTACCATGGTATCACCTGTTACTTACCTGTGATAATATCTTCCTGTATTACAGTATCATAGTATCACCTGTTACTTACCTGTGATAATATCCTCCTGTACTCCAGTACCATGATATCACCTGTTACTTACCTGTGATAATATCTTCCTGTGCTCCAGTACCACGGTATCACCTGTTACCTACCTGTGATAATGTCCTCCTGTACTACAGTACCACAGTATCACCTGTTACTTACCTGTGATAATATCTTCCTGTGCTCCAGTACCACGGTATCACCTGTTACTTACCTGTGATAATGTCCTCCTGTACTCCAGTATCACAGTATCACCTGTTACTACCTGTGATAATATCCTCCTGTACTCCAGTATCACAGTATCTCCTGTTACTTACCTGTGATAATATCTTCCTATACTACAGTATCACAGTATCGCCTGTTACTTACCTGTGATAATATCTTCCTGTACTTCAGTACCCTAGCATCACCTGTTACTTACCTGTGATAATATCCTCCTGTACTCCATTATCACAGTACCACCTGTTACTTACCTGTGATGATATTTTCCTGTACTACAGTACCACAGTATCACCTGTTACTTACCTGTGATAATGTCCTCCTGTACTCGGTATCACAGTATCACCTGTTACATACCTGTGATAATGTCCTCCTGTACTACAGTCCCATGGTATCCCCTGTTACTTACCTGTGATAATATCCTCCTGTACTACAGTACCATGGTATCCCCTGTTACTTACCTGTGATGATATCTTCCTGTACTACAGTATCACCGTATCACCTGTTACTTACCTGCGATAATATCTTCCTGTACTTCAGTGCCCTAGGATCACCTGTTACTTACCTGGGATAATATCTTCCTGTACTACAGTGTCACAGTATCACCTGTTACTTACCTGTGATAATATCTTCCTGTACTTCAGTACCCTAGCATCACCTGTTACTTACCTGTGATAATATCTTCCTGTACTACAGTATCACAGTATCACCTGTTACTTACCTGTGATAATATCTTCCTATACTACAGTATCAACTGTTACTTACCTGTGATAATATCTTCCTGTACGTCAGTACCCTAGCATCACCTGTTACTTACCTGTGATAATATCTTCCTATACTACAGTATCACAGTATCGCCTGTTACTTACCTGTGATAATATCTTCCTGTACTACAGTACCACGGTATCCCCTGTTACTTACCTGTGATAATATCTTCCTGTACTCCAGTTCCATGGTTGTCCTGTCTAGGTAAGGGTTCAAAGTCCAAAATTTCTTCCTCATCTGAAAGAACAGAACAAAAACCAAAACTTAAGTATAGTCTGACAATAATGTTTTGATTTTAAATGTTGATAAAAAGATTTAAATTTGACTGTTCACATTTAAATAGAACAAACAAGATATGATAATAACAAAGAAGGAATGTGTTGCTTTTCACTTTTTTCTACCTTTTCAACACAGAAAACATGAAACAAATGTATAAGGCATTCAAATCGCTTTTTAAGCTTAATGCCCATATGTCCGCCGTATACTTCTTCTTAGCACAACACATTTGTTGCCAAGTTATCTTTATTGAATAATTAATTTTCTTGTGTATACCAACGTCCTCCTTTGAACTTGACCTATACTTACATACCTCTCTGCAGTGACCTTGACCTTCTGTGGTGACATTCTAATGTGACCATGACTTTCTTTACTTACCGTATGTAGTATGTACTATAGATAACCTTGACCTTCTATACTCACATGTCTTCCCCATATCATTATGCTATACATTTTTTTCTCTCTCTCTGTTTGTTAAGAATCTTAATGGAATATTTAAAGTTGTTTTACTTTAGATAAGGTTAAGCTACAAGCCATATACTCAAAAGAAAGCATGCAAAGTGACAAATCTGACCCCTGTGACTTGGACTCGATCCTTCAGTCGTTCAAAGATTATAACCTTTCATCCCAACATGCTACTGGCAAAATATCTCTTGGCCTCTTGTTTATTCAGTGTCATTAAAAGTTTTAACATGTTTGACCCCTGTGACCTTGGCAGTGGGTAAATTTTATTCAATTAAACAGGCTTGATAGCCCATCATCCTGGGCATGCTACAAAACAAATAGCATTACCCCAGACCCCTTTGTTACTTAGAAGAAGTTGTTTCAGAGTTTTAACATACTTAGCCCCAGTGTCCTATGAAGTGGGTCAAAGTCATTCATTCAAACTTGATAGTTCTTCATCCCATCATGCTACAGTCCAAATATCATTAACCTATATATGACCTTTTGGTTATATTTAAGAAGTAATTTTAAGTTTTTAACACACCTATACCCCTGTGACTTGGAAAAATTGCTAAGGTCATTCATTTGAACAACCTCTATAGCCCTTCATTCCAGGATGCTCCTGGCAAAACATCATCATCCAACCCTAAACTTTTTGTTATTCAGAAAAAAATAATTTCAAAGTTTTAACAACTCTGACTCTTGTGACCTTGAAAGTTGGTCAAATTCATTAATTTAAATGAAGTTGATAGACCCATATCTCAGCATGCTACTGGCCATATTATTTAACCTATGTCACTTGGTCATCCAGAAGAAGTTATATAGAGTAAACAATTGATGTTGCCTTTTGAATCAATTAAAAAAGCATGATATAACGGAAACAAAACAGTACAAATAGAAACCATGTTTGAGTGAGCACTATTCAAAGACAAATCTCCCAATCACTGTGGTATGCCACTCTGGTATGCAAGCTTGTCTTCACCCAAAATAACAAGATTAAGGCCTGGTACAAGGTGTTCCAGCCAGATACAGGACATCAACCTGCACCAATCAGCATACCATGGTTCAAATACCTCCAAACAACCAAGACCTTATGGCCAAACAGACTGGTGGTTTACCTCCGGTTGTTTTATCGTGGGAGCTGGCTTGTGAAGTGACATCTTTGTGTTTTCGACCAACACCCAAGCCCTGGAATGAATCCATCTTCTCTGCGTGTTCCTCCGATACAGAATCTGTAACAGAAAAATTTATCATAACAGTGAATACTTGTACACAATTGATCTAATATAGAAATTACATGAAAAGGGCAAAACTTACACTGGGCAGCGAATAGAGATTTTTCCATTGAAGAGTGAATATTTGATAGAAATATTCTTGGTATACAGTAATTTCATCAGTTTTAGCATTGTAATGACAGTTTTCATTTGTCAATCATTATCGTTTATCATTTGATAATGTGCAATTATTACAAGTTTAAAATAAACAAATAACTGAGACATGAGTTATGTACAACATTTAATTATATATATACATATCAACAGGCTACATCATCATACAAACATATACACAATATATATTTAAATAACACAGCTCATTAATCAACAAGTAATTGGCGTATGGGGCGAACTCAGCTTATATGTACACAAATCATTAATTTGTGAATTTTTTGTGATACCATTCTTAATCGGTTTGGGCAGATTGTTTTTTTGTAGCCGTGTGGACTTAGTCCCACGTTAAATACAAAAAATGCAGTGTTGTTGTATGTGTATTGTATTACAGCTCTTATGCTGTTACGTATACTCCATCACTGCGTTCGCGTGCAAGCACATATTGGTAGTTCTGAGTAACTTGTCGCTGCAGATTGCTACTATATTTGCGTTGCAAAGCCCAAGCCAGTCGAGCAATAGTATCTTAGCTTATATTATAAGATGTAAGATTAGGACTTCCCTACCCTTCCACTAATAGAGAATTGACGAGTCTTTGCTACGTAACCAGCTAGAGGATGGGTAGGTATAAGACCATACATTTTAATAGATTACAATGTTTTGGGGAAATTTTGTTTAAATGAGGAATAAATGAATTTAATAACGAATAAAAATATTAAAAAACGGCCAAATTTGGGGTATTTTAAAAAGTTGAAAAATAAATCCTTAAATACCAGGTAAATATAACATGATAGAACCTTCAGATTTATCAAATAAAACAAGGTACCTTCCAGTGTATGTCACATGGTATATTATGGAATATATATATACTCTATAAACTGAGTTTGCCCAATTGGAATTTTAAACAATGTACTTTTAATACATTTATCATACAACTATGACAGAGGAATGTTTCATTATATGATCTAATTCTATAGTTACAGGTGAGTGGCAGGGGATGGTGGTGGTCTTACAAAATATTGGGAGACTAAACTGTGTTGTTCTTATCGCTACTGCTGCTGAATGATCGAGTAACGCTATTAATCTGGTCCTAAGCTCTTAGCCAATCAGGTACACTTGCATAAATAAGTGACGCTAACTAGTTCCCCTTACCCAATCAGAAAGCTAAACAGTGTACACGTGATCATTAGACTTGTATTTCTAGCCATCTCGAGATACACATTTTGGTAATCTCAAAAAAGTAAATATATAGGTATCGTCACACACGCTACACTAGTACACCTAGCGATTTTCGTCGGACTCATAAGTAAGGGTATGCTATGTAGTACTCACTTAACATGACTAATCAAACTTGTACTTGATTAGGGGGGTTATTATTTGTTCCATTCAAACATGGCTTTTATACAAAAGCCTTAATACACGCAATAGGTTAATGCAACTCCAGTAATCCCACCACCAACACAAATAAAATATAAAAATGCACAGAAGACTGTGTAAGGCGCTAGGTCTATCTGATCTATAACCATTCATCAAAACAATTCTATATCCATATGTTATGGAGGCATGGTAGTCTATTGGTAGGATGCCAGACCCATAACCTAAGGGTCGCGAGTTTGAGGCCTGTCATGTTGTATCCCGAAACAAGATACTTTACTCTGCTTGTTCTAGTCTATTAAGCTGTAAATGAGTAAATGGATGGGCAGTGCTGGCATTGTTGAATGCTAGCTGTGAGTGCCTAAATGGCAGCACCGGCTAAATGCCCCCCCCCCCCCCCCAAAAAAAAAAGTTGAGAAAAAGATATTTGCAAAGGGCCCATAACCACAGATGATAATTTGTTAACTGCTTTAAGAGCATCAAATTATCATTATAATTATTACGTCAAGTACTTACCACCATCACTGTCCATTTCAATCTGCTGTAACCATTCAGGTTCAGTGTTCTCAATGCAGGAGTCGTCTCCCCCTGGCAAGAACTCTTCTGGTTGTTCCATGGGGGATGTCTGAAAAATAGCAGATTCAGTTATATCATTTGCTTAAATTGGTAGTAAATCTCATCTGACTGCTAAAATAGTCCCGAACAAAAGATGCTTTTGAAACATTGTAACACTTTATTCCAACAGTTATCCTAGCTTGTACCAAATCTGAATTCTTCATATGGCATTTTTATATGTTCACTGCTATCTGCTATTTAATTGGTCAATTCTTTTTAAACAAGAATATTAAAATAACATACCATTTAAATTAATATATCACACTGCAGTGAAAAATAGTATTTTTATTTCTTTATTTCACTGCTGAAAATGTTATTTTGGTAAATACTGAATGATACCACATCAATACTCAAATGTCAATTTTATTAAATCTGCTGGGTTACTTAGACAGGAAAAATATCACTTAGATAATGATATCTATAATCTATATAGTTTTTCTTTAGTATATTTACCTCCGATGGTTTGTACAATGTGAAGTCATCTTGAAATACAAGCGGTTGCTGACCACTGGCAGGCTCTAGGTACCCAGCATTAAGTAACGCCTGACCAATCACCACTGCCTGTACACTGTAACCATGACATCAGTAGAATTACTCTTTTACCAGCAAATTTGAAGGTTATGTCGCTAAACTCTATAAAGCAAATCAAACCAAGTTGAAAAACCTCAGCTCTATTAATTTTCTAGTCATGATAAAAAATAGTTTGGATTTTAATTAAATAACATCTGTCTCACAAAAAAGTACCAGGTAATTAAACCAATATTTTTTTATTTTTTGAAGTTTAACCTTTAAGTCAGAGCAACGTTGAACAAAAACCTAAGGTTCATAATGATGGTTTTCAGAACACTCTAGAAGTTTAATCCAGACTTATCCTGAATTACCAGACATTTATTGAGTAAAATAAGCGGATAGGAACAGACTGAAATCCAACAAAATTATCTGATGAGATTTCAGTTGTTAAGAAATGTGACCGAGCAAAAATGGCAAATCTTGATGTCACTTCTGCGTATTTTTCCACACCAACGATATGGTTTCAGTACAACAGTTGACATGAATTATTTAAGTACCCATATGTAAAAATCAAAAACTTATTACCGTCTCACAGCTCGGTCATTTTTGATCAGCCAGTCGACCAGTTTATTTCCCACAATGCATTTGTGATAGGTTCGGAGACGGATTCTGTGACTCTGCATTTCCACCCCTTTATCCAGGTCTGAAATGTGCTTCCATAGGTCACGCAGTTGGGTGGAGTCCTGGTGTGTAAAGCAGTGTATTCAGGTGACCAGCCGAACAGAAAAGTATGTCTGATCCACAACACAAAGAAGCAAATTCTAGGCTGCCAGGTCAAAAGTTCGCAAATTTTCCCTAACTTATGACACTTAGCTCAAGATTCGTCCAAAATGCATTTACTGGACTGAGGCAAAACTTCCTTGACTGAATGCTTTCCTTTTATCAACTCAATTAATACTTCCTACGGAGAGAGCATCTGAAAAAATGATCGGATCTGGCACAAGAACTATTTAAAGAAAATAATGCACAAATTAATATCATGTCTGTGAGTTCTATTTTTTTTAATTCACTTGATTTAATTCCTTCAACTTCAAAAAAGATTTGTTGAGAAACCTTTTACTTTGAACATTGTTAATGGCTTCAGATTTACGCTGCTGTAAATCTACATTGTTAATATGTCTACTTAGGGCCATGTTCTGTAGCAGTACGTACCTCAAAGAACTTCCTGTCCATGTATAGGTTTTCAAAGTTCTGGTAGTCAGTCTGAGGTGTGAGATCGAACGGCGCCATCTGGTCCAAACTTGTGGTACTACTGGTCATTGACAGGTGGCCCCTGGTAACGTATCAAAATCATAAGACGGGGATTCTTAACTCAAAACTAATGTACTGCTTTATTAAATTAAAGTAAGTATTTAATTAGCGTGTTTTCTTTTAGGTAACATCTTTTATCATTGCAGATTCTAAATACAAGTTAAATGATGTAGATAAACTGACCTTTCCAGGAGACTAAGTCGCTTCATCACATTAACATAGCTTATAATCAATACTAGGATATCTAAAAATACCATTTTAAGTTTTGTTATATACACAATAAACAGAGTCTGCTCTAATGTCCCAATCTCTATCTCTAGATAACTTTCACATTCAACCCCAGTATAGATTTGACACGGGTCAAAGTTTTATTTATTTCATAAAAATCATGTAGTTTTTATATAAACCTTACCTGGTGTTTTATACTAAGGAAATGTGTTCCCTACAGAATAGCAATACATGTACATGTACAAATATACCAACATACATCTGTATCACATACATCGTAGTCCCCTACGACTGAAAACAAAAGAGCAGCCTCTAACTGTTCCCATATGCTATCTGGGGCACACTTTTGTCTCTTAACAGTTACTGGACATTTAAACATATTTGTATCAATACAACTTTAATCTTTATAAACAAATTCTTCAGGAAAAATATTGCAAATAAAGTTGTCAAGGCCCTGAGATCATAAAAAGGTGTTAAGTCTAAAACTGTTTAAAGTTCTGACTTAAGTCTAAGATTGTTTCATGATCCCAAGACCTGATTGTCTGTATCCTACCGGACTCTGTGGTGCCACCTTGTTTCTGGCTGTTTTTTCTGAAGAGTATCATTGTTCACATGTCCAGACAATACCTGGCTTTGTTGGCAGCCCCTTGTTTCTTGCTAGAACCCCAGATACTGTTTGCCCCCATCAGACCTCCGGAATATGTGTATTCCATAGAGAGACGAAGGTCCTCCCTCTCCACCCTTAGATCACCCGTGGAGGGTTCATTCTGTAGGGCACTCATGGCCACTTTTCCACAGTAAGTACACACACGGATACCACCTATAACATAATAAATACACATGGCCACTTTCCCACAGAAGTACACACACAAGGATACCACCTATAACATAATAAATACACACGGCCACCCTTCTACAGTAAGAAGACACACAGATACCACATATAGCATAATAAATACACACGGCCACCTTCCTACAGTAAGTACACACACAGATACCACCTACAACATAATAAAAGCACACACACGAATACCACCTATAACATAATAAATATGCATGGCCACCTTCCTACAGTAAGTACCCACACAGATACCACCTATAACATAATCAACGTACCTGTGTACCACCTTTAATACCAGTGATAGTGTTTGCCTAGTTTTACAGCCAAATAAAGACTGCTTCCCTTGCAAAAAAGTGTTTTATTTTCCCAAATGAAGGAAAATGAGGAATATTTTCTCAATACCATTATAAATATTGATATATTTGCCCAATTCATGTGAGAAAAGGTGCTGTAAAAACTAAGGATGCAAAAATACTGAATACTGTCAGCACAATATCAGAAATGTCTGTGATACAATATTTTATCGAGATAATAAAACGCATGAAACTTACATTGTATCTAGATTTCTCACAATATAAATAAAACAAACCAGAAAACTCTGGCAATGACTTGTTTCTAGTAATGTGACACACTGACTTATTATAGCAAGACAAACACAACGCCCAACAGGTCTGCAATGCTCACCTGTTTTTGTTTGACACGTTGAAAGCATTCTCACTAATTCTTCTTATAGACCTTGGTGGCTAGACTGGCTACCATCCCCTAGCTTATCTCCCCCTAGCTTAGGAATCAGATATCCAAGTGATCAAAATTTTTAGAGTTCATTTTTTTTTCTTAATTATTTAATATTCTAGAGACAGTGGCCAGTCTACTTGGTGGCCATCTCAGACTTTTTATTGACCCAAAGAATCACAATAATATCACATGATGGGAGAAGAATAAAGAAAGATACATATATAGCAAAACCTTATGTTTATATTAAAATTTACCTTTGTATCCTATGATCTTTCCAGGAAGTTCTTGGTTGCAGCATTTGCTACAGAATATCTGGCCACAGATACGACAATGGTGTCGCCGTCGGAATGTTGTAAACTTGTCTCCACAGTCATAGCATTCCTTACAGCTGCTATCGGGCATCCAGTATTGTTTGAAATCACTGTCACGGTATGCCTGTGGAGTCTGAAAAAGTCAAAACATACTCAAATCATGAACACATGTACAGTACGCCTTTGGAGTCTGAAGCAATGAAAACAAAAATGAAATTACTGTCATGGTGCACTTACGAGGTCTGAAGCTGTCAAAACATACTTAACTCATTGCTACTGTAACACTGAAATCCCTACCACCATTTCTCTAGTGTCTAATTCACGGTGAAAAAAGTTGTTTTTGTGATGTCAATTTGTTTATTTAAATAAGATACACATTGATTGTATGAGTGTCGACTAACCGTGGTACGGCGCTCCAGGATGTTGCTGAGTCGGTTGAGAACACTGGAGAGGGTCCTGTCAGCATCCCCATGTTGCTGCTCCACCTCACTGGTGGACGCTGTCAGGTCCTCCCGCAAATCATCCTCCTTAACCTCTGTAACCACTGAAAAAGAGGAAAGAAAATAGCATCAAATGTAACTCTTCACTGAGGGAAGGTAAGAAAATGGAAATCTTTACTGAAAAAAGAAAACATATGCAGATTTTGTAGGTTTACCAGTACATATCTATGTCATCTATTTTTCTAATACCCTAAAACAACATTTTAATTAAATCAGTTTTCGATCTGGGTAGGTCAAGTTATTCAAAGTCATGATAATATAAAGAGTCTTTCACAAAATTTCCATTATGCAATTTCGAAGAAAAATCTGAAAATTTCCAAATATTTTTGTATTTTCTATTGTAACGTAATTGTTCATTCATATAAATAAGTTTTGCATTTTGATTTTTTTTCGTGATGTACTAGAAAACAGATTTGTGTTAAAATGTCATTATACTAAAATAAGTCTTATTATCAGAACAACACACTTCATTACATCAATGACTGAAGAAGTGTAAGTCATTGAATGAAGTTAAGCACTTAAGAGTAGCTTATTCTCGCTAGATAGTTCTATTATGCAATGAATGAAAAAAAGTAAATTTACCTCCAGTCACTTCAGGGTTGTCTACCCTTGGTGTGACAGAAACCCATCTCTTGGTCACCTCTCTGTCCACCGATGGATCACGAGATGACTTCTGGCTGCTGGCGCGGGAGGAGGACGAAGAGTCATCTGTCAAAAGTTTTTAAATTGACACTTACTTATTCCATTGCGTTTAAAAAAATATTGAATTTATATTCCCATATGTATAACTTTCATTCAAAGGGAACTCACTCAGTTAGTTACAAAATCATAAGTTGTCTTCCTTGGTAAACTGTGTTTTGGTGTTACAAATTAATAAATATAAATTACATATTATGTACATTTGTGTAAGTTGATTCGAAGGTTTAAGATATGAACTACCATCAAAATTATACAAATATGTATCAACGTACACATATATCACCCCAAGGCTATATTCAAGTCACTCTCTTTAAGTTTGAAACGACGTTTTTTTTTACCTGCATCATTTTAGATTACAGTTAATCTTACCTTTACTCCTTTTCCAGAGTCTGGTGAACAGGTTCCCTCCCTCAGACACTTCAGAGCTGAGGGGTCCAAATACAGTGAGGGTAGTGGGTGTGTCATCCCACATGGCCATCATACAACACAGGGGGTCACAGGAGCATCATCATCCTGTACACTTCAAACCCAGATCATTGTACATATATATTAACGAAAAAGAGATGCAGGTGATCAGAAAAGGACAGATTGAGCGGTAGAGATTTTTCTACTTCTTTTTGACAGGGGTCTGTGCCTTGTGACTTTGGGAAAATATCACATACAAAAAGAACAAACTTGTGAAAATTAAGTGATTTTTGTGTTGATTTTGGGAAAATATAGCAGAAATTATCTAGGAAAAGGGGCCTTTATTAGACCAAAAATCCATTGAAAAAAATAATTCAGAGCTGTGTTAAGTTTCGTTGTGAAGGATGCACAACGTCAGAGGGGGCCAAACAGATTTGGGACTGATCATGATCATGACAGAAGAGAGCCTGTACAACAGTCTGTTCCTATATGAATCGGGAAAATATTGCATTATTAGGTCATTTTGGGAAAATAAGGCACTTTTTAGCATGGGGAAACAGCCTGTATTCAGCAGTAAATACTGAGCAAAAAAATCACTGCTAAGGGACAGAGGGGAGAGAGAGAGGCTGATATTAGTGGCTAAAATGGGGGAGGGGCAGAGAAATGGCAATTGGAAAAAAAATATACTTAGCACAGGGCAGATTACAGTCAGGGTAAGCAGAAGATGAGGGCAATGGTGGACAGGAGAGGACAGAGGAAATAAGACGATAACATATATACCGGTATTTTGTCATAAATACATGTTCAACAAAGGCATATTTATATCAAGCTAATCAATACATGGAACATGTATCAGCATACTTGTAAAACATTGATCAGGTTGACTTACAAGCGTCAGCTGTAGGGAATTTCCCTTTAGGCCAAATAAAAATATACCTGTGTTTCCCCGTTTCCTGTCCGACCCAATTTTTTCATGCCGACCCTAATACATTATATTGGTTTTTCACAGTCACTGTTTTGCATTTATTAGCTGTTTAATTGTTCAAAGTTTACAGAATTAGGAAGTTAGTAATAATGAACTTGTGTTTTAAATGTAGTACATAAACATAAATGTATTCATTTTGTTGTTCAACTAATTTGAACTGGTGGCAGTGGAAATTGAGAACAGAAAGCATATGTAAAAACAGAAGAGAAGGTCACACTTCAGGTGACCATCAGTTGAGTTTGGATAACTAAAAACTTTTACAGTCCAGCAGTAGGGAAGGTTCAGCAATGTAACACTGGGGTGGCATTCCTACTGTAAATTACGTTGGTTATAATTATTCCATAAACGTTGAGGTGGGTCAAATAATAATTTTCTTCAATGTGTCGTCTGAGCCTGCTCAACACAAAAACTAGGAATGCAGGGATTTTTTAATATGTGTATTTATTTTACATGAATAAAAAGTTATATATTTGGAGCCATTCATACTTTATTAAAACAATACCATATTCTTATCATTCATGGAGGTAATCAGGAGAATTTCTTCACCAGAAAAAGAATTAAAATAAAATGATAAAATAAAATGTTTTTCCTACGTAGCTACCCTATTTTTTGGAGCCGAAACTGGTTAAACCCATACAGTAAAACCCCATTGTAATGCCACCCGTTAAACCGCCAAACCCGCATACCACCATAAATTTACTCAGAACGGATTTCCCCAACATTAATGCACCCGTTGTAACACAAAACCTGCATACAGCCACCATATTCCAAAAAGTAATGGTTAAAATCACACTATTTTGACCTCTTTAAATACCGCCAATTTGCGTCGGTTACAGGTATATATATCCTGATGACAGGAATGTAACGTACGTGTGTACATCGTATTCTAACAGGTGACTGCTGACTGACCAGGTAATCAGATGTATGTTTTACGCACTCAACAATTTGATACATTAAATTCCAATTTTGAAAAAAACAAGAGGCCCAATGGGCCTGAATCGCTCACCTGGTATTAATCTCACACTTGTAATCTTAAAAGTGGACTAAATAATATACAGCTACAGGCAAAATATCTGTGATCCATTTGAATCTATTAAATGATCTAAACATATGACGCCTGTGGCATTGAAAGTTTCTAGCCTTCCGTCCCGGCATACTTCTGGCTAAATATTATTACCCTGGACCTTTTGAATATTCAGAACAAGTCATTTAAAGATTTAAACATATTTGATCCCTGTGACCTTGAATATGAGCAAAGATCATTCATTTGAACAAACTTGGTAGCACTTCATACCAGCATGTTCCTGGTCAAATATCATCATCCAAGGCCGTTTGATTATTGAGAAGAGGTTGTTTAAAGGTTTTAAACATATTTGACCCCTGTGACCTTGAAAATGGGTGAAGGTCGTTTGTTTGTACAACTTAGTAGCCCTTCATCTGAGCATGATACTGGTCAAATATCATTGTTCTAGGCCTATTGGGTATTCAGGAGAAGTTGTGTAAAGGTTTTAAACATATTTGACCCCTGTGGCCATGAATATAAGTAAAGGTGATTCATTTGACAAACTTGGTAGCCCTCTATTACAGCATGCTACTGGTCAAATAGCATCTAATAGGCCTCTTGGTTATTGAGAAGAAGTTGTTTAAAGGTTTAAACATATTTGACCCCTGTGACCTTGAATATAGGTAAAGGTCATTCATTTTAACAAAACTTAGTAGCCCTTCATCCCAGCATGCTACTGGCAAAATATCATCACCCTGGGAATTTTGGTTATTCAGAAGAAGTTGTTTAAAGTTTTTAACATATTTGACCCGTGACCTTGAAAATAGGTGAAGGTCATTTATTTGAACAAACTTATTAGCCCTTCATCCCAGTTTGCTTCTGGCCAAATATCATCACCCTAGGCCTTTCGGTTATTAAGAAGAAGTCGTTTAAAGTAAAATATTGACGCCGGACGGACGGACCACGGCATAAGCTCACTTGGCACTTCGTGCCAGTTGAGCTAAAAACATATTCTGAAGTAAATTATTATTTTTTTAATGTATAAGTTTAGTTGGTGTGTGAACATTTGGGTTTAAAACTGTAAACCTGATATACCACCAAACTTTTTTTATCACCAAAATCACTGAGGACAGAAGGACTGCGGTATAACAAGGTTTTACTGTTTTTTATTTGGCCTTAGCTCAGCAGTAGAGCATCACGCTGGAGAGCCAAGGGTCGTGGGTTTGAGCCCCAGCGATGGCAATATCTTTATCGCTATTCCTCGTCCTACTTTATACTTGCCGACTCTCCCTATTTTTGAGAGCTCATGACTCCGATTCAAATTGGACCCTAACATTTTCAGTCCATTATTAAAAATCTGCTTAACTATTTCTTTATTCTAAGATCTAATGGTTTCATCTAAAACAATGCTAATTCAAAGAGTTCTTTTTTCACCTGGGTAATATGTTTGTAGTACGACGAGAAATAGTGATAAAGATAGCGGCCTCGAACCCGTGACCCTAGACTCTCCAGCCTGATGCACTACCTAATTAATCAACATCTTTTACACTATTCCCCCCTTTTTTCAATCACCAACCCAGGTGCTTTGACTCCCCGCCAAGGGTTCTCCTACCTTGAACAGGGAGGGCCAACGGCACAAGTTTATAGTCGGACGAGAAATAGTAAGAAAGATAGTGCTGTCGCTGGGCCTCAAACCCGCGACTCGCCAGCCTGATGCTGCTCTACGCTGAACTAAAGGTAAATTCCCTACAGCTGACTCTTGTAAGGCAACCTAATTAATGCACATCTTTTACATAGACACATAAATAATGACATTTTATTTACTTAATTGAGCACATGGAATCTCCCCACTTTGGAAAGGTATATGTACAAGATGACAGCGAATTTTTAATATGAATCTGAGGCCTTAAGAAAGCACCTTCCCCTAGACAAATTAAATATTATATATGTAACAGGCACAGGTCCCTGCCAAAAACAGGTAGAAACAAACACATTTTAAATTTATTCACATTCTGAATTGGTAATTGACCCTAAAGAGTATAGTCAATGCAAGCACTTATCAATATTATGTCCATATGCATTCTTCCTTTAAATGAAATGGTATTTAATTTAAATCTATTGAATTTGTTCATGAGAGAAATAAAAACATATCCTATATGCATGAACTATTATTGCATTTCAGTCTAAACGACTGGTGTTTGGGTCAGAAGAATCTCAGGCAAATGTCCAGTTAAAGACTAAGGTTGATCAACTAAATCAATTATAGGTTATGTTCCCAAAATAAACACTATTTTTTTAAAGTCTCTGTATTTTTCCAATTTCCATGAAAACCGTACTACGCTTTCCTATTTCAAAAAGTCACAAGTGTCGATAAAAATAGTGTTACAACGTCATTAATTTAAGAAAACCAAATCCACTACTCAATATGATGTACAAATCGCCGGTCCACCATTTTCAAAACACCAGTGTAAATGTTGGGATAATAATCACATAACACCACAATCACGCTCAGTCTTGGTGTGATTATAACGAGAACTCATTGATATAGACACATAATTAAATTATTTAAGTATGTGTCGCTAGATGTCAATGACATCGTTTCGTACCTGTTCATTTACAGCTGATAGGCCTGTCATGCGACCATTTTCTATATTTACAAATTTTGACTTCCGGGTCAAGTGTCATTTTGTTCGCGCCATCTGGTTGAAGGGCAATAACTCTTACAACAATTAGGCCTAGATCAGATTGCGGGGTTTGTAGTGCCAATCAAAGTTATTTCCATAATATTAGACTGCCTATTAGCTAGCGCACATAGTTCAGTAAACTTTGTAATACGTGTGTTGTGTTGATCTCGGGCGCCTGAGCTAAGGTCCTTTTTAACATTTTGTAAAAATAAGCGAAACCTGTACTTCTAACTGGTAATGACCAACTTCAACAAGTTAAATATATATACTTAAATAAATACCGAATCATCCATCAACGTTCGTTCAGAACACAGGGACATGGGAATTTGTTACAGCTTTATTTAATTGGACCTAAACTAAGGTGTTCATATTAAATATGTTTGGATTTCATTAAATAATTCATGAAGCTACAAGAATTACAAACAACACATGTACCCTTTTATATCACATTCTTTGTAATGACAAAGACAGAATCTGCCAGTCTGGAACTATCTCAATTGGTTTAAATGATCACTTTCTTACTTATTGTACAAGGAAAGTCACTAGAGCCTCAATTAAGAAACACAATACAGTGCAAATAAGATCTACAAAAAAATACAACAAAGATCTCTTCAATGAAAAGCTTCTTAATGCTAATTGGGAAGAATGTTTTTGTGCTCAGAGTCAGGAGGAATCTTGGTCAAAATTTAGAGAAATACTTATGAAAGTTTTGGATAGTGTAGCTCCAGTCAAAGAAATTAGACTGAAGCAGAGAACTGAACCATGGATGAACTCAGATATTTTAGACAATATTCGTTTGAGAGATACATGTTTGCATGAATATAAAAAACACAATAATGAGTCTGACTACAAACAATTTTGTCTACTTAGAAATAAGATTCAAAGAGAAATCAAAACAGCAAAATCAGATTTTTTTCAAAACAAGATCGACGAAAATCGTAACAAACCCAAAATACTGTGGCAACATTTGAAAGATCTAGGATACGAAAAAGAAAAGAAATCCAATTCCAACATTGTCTTAAATATTGAGGATAACTGGTAGATACATAGGGGAAAATACTCGTTTAATATATGATGTTATGCAATATACAGAAGACTATGATATTCCTGGACTTATACTTCTCATTGATTTTAAAAAAGCCTTCGATTCTGTTTCTTGGAACTTTATAGCAAAAACCCTAAAATATTTCAAATTTGGCCCAACTATAATTGGTTGGATAAAACTGTTTCAACAAAATATTCACTCAGCAGTAAACATAGGGGGGAAACTTATCACATCTTTTCAGCATAGAACGTGGCTCTCGTCAAGGAGATCCTGTATCTTCTTATATTTTTATTTTATGTGCAGAAATTTTATCGATACTTTTAAGAAATAACAATAACATTAAGGGGATATTTGTACGGTATAATAAAATTCTTTTATCACAATTTGCAGATGATACATCTGTTATTTTAGATGACTCTAAAAGATCTCTGGACGAAACTTTAAAAGATCTCTCTTATTATGCAAAAATATCAGGATTAAAAATGAATTTCTCCAAGACCCAGGTAGTGTGGATTGGCAGCAAAAAATATAGTGGAAACACTTACACAACAGATTGCAAGTANTTGTTTGACACCTTCCCTGAGACTGTGTCAGTGTTGATGGCTCGTCTACTTGAGATTAGTGTATTGTGCTGACCGATGGTGGTCACTAGTGGTCACTGTAGTGGGCAGTGCAATGAGAGGGCCGGACCAGACACCACTACGTACACAGAGGTTTGATGATTATTGCCACAAAAGTGTTTATTTGTCCACAGTAAAAGACCAGATGAGTATTGTGACTGAACAAGCCAATTACCCGACAGGGGTTAACTTAGCTACCATACATACAGACGTACACATCCACGCCCGACCAAACCCTCCCAGACACCAACCAAAACCTCACACCAGCTCCTTTATATCGGAAATACTTGAACCACTCCGTCACAGCAGACCTCATACCTTAAATGTCCGAAATACCAAGACTTTCTCATACAATTAATATTCTTAATATCAGAAATGCCTTATTTCACAGACGCATACTTAAACCTCGCACTAATCACTTAATATCGGAATTACCAAAAGTGTCACAGATATAGATATTGCACCCAGCCCCTTTAAATCTTATACGCCTTGACAAGCTACTAACTGCTACACTTTCATCACCTTCTCAGTCACAGACATCAAACCGTAAGAAGCCTTAAAATCCGAAACGCTTAACCCCTTCGATAAATCAAAAACTCAAACCAACCATTACTAACTAGAAATGCTTGATACTTTAAGCGTTATCTTAATCAAATTCTAGCTGTTAAATATTTGAAATACCAAAACTGTTTAGGCAACACATCAATCAAAGGTCACTCTTTTTTTGGTTGATGAATTTTATTTTTGTAATTGTTTAATCGTTTGTTCGTATATTTTTTGTTGTTTCAATTGCAGATTTTTCATAGAATACTCCAGCTGAACGCTATAATTCTACACTTACTCCGAGAAATACGAAGTAAGAAAACGAACTAAGAAACAACCTAATTCAAACTTAATTTAGTCTGATGATCAAACAAAATAAATGCTAACGTCATCATATGGCAATTTTACCTACTCAGGAACCATTACTCGTACTAAAGTCAAAAGAATGGAAGTACCTGTCAAATGTGTTTCGAAACATATGTATAATTACACCTTAGGAAAAGTACCCATAAATCCCTTCAAAGCGTTATATGTTTTATCATTAAACTAATATTTCATGTGAAATGTATTAGAACAAATTCCATCTACAATGTTACGGCCAAGTTAGGGGACTGAGGGTTCACAAGCATAGATCACTACTAGAAGCTGAAAACAAAGCAGCAATGAGCAATTTAAAACTGATCAGCCATGCTTAATACTTTATTGGAGTGACATGTATAACGCCTTATTACCTATTCTATTTTATATTCTTACTATTTGTACCGCATTGGAAACTCTCGGTATGTTTTCTATAATTTCTATAATTGTAACACTTTATGGTATTTTTCTATTATTCAATATGACATGTAATTCAACTGAAGGAGAAAAATGATGTAATCTCATAAATTTCACATTAAATGAAAACACCTAAAGGTTGGAATACCCTACATCGAGGTTCAGCAAGCTGTTTTCATTAAGTATTATAACCTATGTTTCAAAATACAATCGATTGTTGTTTCATTAGATTTACAATCGATAACATTAATAATTGTAAGTATAACATATTTACAGTTGTGTCAGTCAGTTATTTGTTGTGTTAGAACAGTTGCTTGTGCCAGTACATAAGTGGAATAAAACTATGGGTTTTTTTTTTTTTTTTTTTTTTTTTTTTTATTGAGGATAAAAGCTGTTTTGACGGTCATACTATAGCCAATTTTTTCAATAACTTTTTCACTACCATTGCCTCAAGTTTAGTTAGTAGACTACCAGATCCAAAGAATATTTTTAATTTTGGCTCAGAATTATTTAAAAAAAAAATACCAAACTAGAAATTCTTGAAATGTAAGTTTTCATCTGAAAAACATATTTCTGAAGATTTTGTTCATAGAGAACTTTGCAATATCAACCCTTACAAAAGCACCGGTCAAGACGGAATACCTGCTAGATTTTTGAAAGACGGGGCTGATGTATAAAAAAATCCTATTACTTTTCTCATTAATCCATCTATAAGAACTGGATCAGTACCCGATGAACTCAAGTTAGAAAAAGTTAAACCTTTATTCAAGAAAAAAGATAAACTTCGAGTTGAAAATTACAGACCGGTGAGCATACGAAGCACAGTTTCCAAAATTCTTGAAAAATCTGTCTACGTCCAACTGGAACATTTCTAGTTACTAATAATATATTCTATGAGTTACAATCTGGATTCAGAAGTTGTTATTCTACAGACAGTTGTTTAATTCATCTATTTGATCATATTAAAAAACAAACTGCTAAGGGATTATTCATAGGTATGATAATGCTTGACCCTGCACAAAGCTTTCGACACAGTCATCACCAGATACTTTGTAACAAATTGGAAATTATGGGAGTTAAACCTGTTAAATGGTTCCAGTCTTATCTGCAAAAAAGAAAACAAGTTGTTTATGTAAATGGAGTAAAATCTAAAGAAGCTGAAGTTGATTGTGGAGTTCCTCAAGGGAGTATTTTAGGCCCTTTATTATTTCTAACTTATGTAAATGACATGCAAATCAGTATAGATCCTGCTTGCAAACTTATTTTATATGCTGATGACAGTACAATTCTCTTTTCTCACTCTGACTCAAAATTTATACCGACCAAACTGAGCCAAGTTCTAGAATCATGTTCAGATTGGCTAGTTGATAACAAACTGTCACTACATCTGGGGAAAACTGAACGCATCCTCTTTGGAACTAAGAGAAAGCTAAAAAGTGTTGAACAGTTTAAAATTATTTGTAATGGTCATACTATTATGATACAACCTTTCGTCAAATATCTTGGTTTGTCCATTGATTGCTTTTTATCTGGCGAATGTATAGTCAACAGCATTGTAAAAAAAGTAAGTAGCAGACTTGAATTTCTATATAGATAGACAAGTTCTCTTCCACCATCCACCAGGAAAATCTTATGCTCAGCCATAATACAGTGTCATTTTGATTACTCTTGCTCATCCTGGTTTAACTAAAAAACGAAAACAAAGACTGCAGGTTTCACAAAACAAAGTTATTAGATTTATTCTTAAATTAGATTCCAGGTCCAGAATTGGTTACAATGAATTCTCTAGTATAAATATGCTTAATGTTAGTAACACAGTAAAACAACTCAGAGTAAAACATGCTTTTAATATTTTTAATGACAAATGCCCCTCCTATTTAAAAACAGACTTCAAAAGGCTAACAGAACTGCAGCAACACTATACAAGATCTAGTGAATACAATTTTTATATTCCAAATGTGAGCGGGGCAGAATCTACCACGTTTTATTACAATGCTGCTAAAGATTGGAATTA